GACTCCATGGCACATAAGCACCACCACCACATCAGTTGAACAGTGAACTGATCTCATATCCACATCACTCTAGAACACTTAGCCATTTCACTTATGTGGTAGCTTGTGGGAAGGAGTCAGAAGCAGTTTTGCTCTCATTCATGTGATGAAACTTCTGGTATGTGAGGAGATTTCATTTCCTTTGATTTGGTTTTTCACTCAAAATTCTATTTTAAACTAATAGTAAAGTCACAGTTCTCTCCGTGTAAATATTTACTCACTTTTTAAGTTTTGTGAAAACAACTCCTTGGTTTTCTTCTTTCAACAGAGCTTTAGACAATGGTCACCTCAATATATATTTACAAAAAGTCTTGAGTTTCTTAATATTGGTAGAAAAAGTTTGAGCAAACACAATGTTTTTAGGGCACTTTCTCAAAATTCTAACACAATGACTCAGTACTGTCTAGTTGTATAGAGTCTCATGCAGATAAACACTTTTAATTGGAAAAGTCTTTCACATACACTCAACTTTTAATATTTCTCCTTCTAAAACGATTGAGCTGGATACCACTTCTAAAACTCTGAAATGATAAGGTGGTTTTATGTATCATATTGCTCTTGTGAGGTGTTTATCCAATCCTGGGGAAGGAACATCTATGGCTAATAGAGACCCTGGATCCTCCCTACAAGGAGCCCTTTTTGCTCAATTCTTATTGTTGTTCAGTACTTTCAAGTCTGTTCCAACTCATTGCAACCCTGTATAGGATTTCCAAGGAGTTGTTGGTGAGCTTGAACTGCTGACCTTGCAGCACAAACCTACCTAGCAGTCCAGTGCATTAACCCGCAGTGCCACACCAGGACTCTTATGCTCAGTGGATCCTTCCTTTATGCTCAATAGAGTCTTCCTTTTCAAAAATCAGTCTTTAAAAAGAATGACCAAAAATACTCAAGACATTGTAAAAGGCTAAGCCCAAAACAACTAGATGGTGTCAGTACTTTTGTGCGAATGCGGCCAGATTGAAGAACAAAAACTCTTATATTGATTCCCCTATCATTTGATGATTCTGGCATTATTTTGTTTTAAAGATAGCTTTGGATCAACCTGAAACAGGATAAAAATGTTTATCTGTTACACAGGGCACAGATATGAGGCAATTTTCAGTATAAAGAAAAGAATAGTTTTTATATGGAGAAGAATGCTAAGGTAGAAAGTTCAAGTACATTTTTCTCTCTTTTTACTTATTTTTGTTGGTCTGGTTTTCTTTTTACACTGTTTATTAATCACTCAGGAAGAATAGGAACTCATATTCAGAAAATACTTATAATTATTTTTGTTTTTTCAATCTTTATGTAGGAGTTGGAATAGACTTGACCACAGTGAGATCCTTAATTTCAGGAGCCATGGTTTGGTGCTATAGGATAAGCACTGGACTGCTAACCACAAAGTTGATGATTCAAACCCATCAGTCACTTCTTGGAAACCTTATATAAGGTTGACATGAATTAGAACTGACTCGATGGCATTTAAAAACAACAATTAGGTAGCAAAAATGGTTAGGTGGTTGATTGAGTTGTGTGTGTTAAGTGCTGCGGAGTCATTTTTTTTTTTTTTTTTTACTTTGTATAGGAATTCTGAGAAGTGGCTGGGATCTGAACTGCCAATTTTGTGGTTCAAACTGACCATGTTGTCCAGTGCTTGTACTACAGTACCACACCAGGACTCCCCTCTGAAAGATTAGGACTATGGAAAGCCTTATAAAGCACAGTTCTGTTTTGAAATGTATAGAGTCACCATAAGTCAGATCAACTCAATGACAATGGGTTTTTTGTTTGTTTGTTTGTTTTTATCATTGATCTCAGCACCATTTTTTTTTAACTTATTACACTATCCTTAGTTCAGTACAAAGAAAGCTGAAGAATCAAATAACACATACAGTTTAAATTTATGATACCTTTGCTTGTCTTCCCTTATTGTTGTTGTATGTTGTTGAGTCAGGTCTGACTCACAGTGACCCTGTATAGGGTTTCCATGGCTGTAAATCTCTATAGAGCAGCGGGTAGATCCTAACCGCTGACCCTATGATTAATAATGGCCCAACACATAACCCACTATGCTAAAAGGACTCCTCTTGTTTCTCCCAATTCCTCCTAAGACTCAGACACCAAAGTTAAAGGAGGAAGTGGATTCATTTGGCTATCATATTGAGTCAGGTACTCTGGATCTTCCCAAGGTCCAAGTGCATACACATTCCCCACAGATGAGGTGTTGTCAAAGAGTATCAAAGAGTGCATTGGAAATGCACTGCAAAGAAAGACACCTTAGACTTGAGCCAAGTTACGTTGCTTAATGATGAGAATGTGTAAGTTGATTCTTACATCTGATTTCTGAGTTGTCATTGCTGCTGTATACTTCATCATGCAACTTTGCACAAATGGCAGTGCTGAATATAAACCAAAGCCATATGTTTATGTCCTTTTGCCAAACGACTCTAGCAAATAGTTCTATTATTCCCTTAGGTAAACAACATGTGCCAAGGATTTCTATTAGTCACTGTGCCATGGCATCAGTGTCACAGCTTTGTGACATCAGGGGACAATTGCCAGCTTTATGTTTCAGGAGAGGTTTTTTTTT